ACCCGAGTCCCACTGTCTGTGATGTTTTCAGAGTTTTCAGAGTCTATCTTCACTTTGTTTACATCGCCGGACGGCCGGCTGACTCCTCCCTCACGTATAAAAGTTGTTTAATTGAGGGACTAGAGAAAAGAAGAATAACATACTGTACTCACTGCTTAACTGTGTTTCTAGATCACGCTCATTTCAGGTAAATTTACATGCAGTGTGAAGATACCAGCATAATAAAGATCGCTAGCATTAGCATGCTAACACAACAATGCACTGCAAGTTGTTTTGGTTTCATGCTGGTGCTCAAGGGCGACATCTGCTGGATCAAAAAATCGCATATAAAGCCTTTAATGGTTATAATGCAAACCAAAACTTCTGCTTCCTGGGTTGTGATACAGCCGATGCAAGTTGGCAATAATTAAAGACTAGTTCAGCTCCAAAAGATCAAATCGTGAGCAATCGATCAAACTGTACTATTCTGCTCTTTTCATTCTGTTCAGATGCCCAATTTAGAATTCTATTGACATAGCTTAGGCTTTGGCCAACCAATTCAAAGCAAATGTTTCTCTTAACTAGTATTCGGTATCATGCAATTCTATCATACTGATATGCTAACGAGGAGATGGGAAGATGACAGCTAAAGTATAGTTACACTTCAGCTAACATTAGCATCCAACCATTTCAAACATATATGTAATGCAGTTCTATGTTTCTATTCTATCCAATGGCAACGTTTGGCTAGGAAGTGGCTGAATGCTTGTATTAGTGTTTTCAATTCGCTGCTTCTGGACCGAGCAGAAAGACCATGTTATAGTGGTACACAACAGCTGACTTTAGCATCCAACAATGCTAATCTAACATTATTGTGAGGAGCTTGTATCGTGGAAATGTATCTAAAGGGTTATGGTAGGTACAGGCTGGGAAACTAATGTTCACTCTTTTCCCCAATAGCTTATATGTTATGAAATATATAAGGGCTGTCAAACAATAAAAAAATGTAATCGTGTAATCGCATGTTTGAAATTCCCTTATTTCGCATTTAAAAATATAAATTCTTAGGCTTTTATTTTGAATTTTTGTATTATTTGAAAACGAGAGTAATTCACTTGCCGTTTGAATTCAAACCTGCTTTTATTTTGATGAAAAAAACTAAAAGACCTTCCAGTAAATTTGAAGGTCACGACATTAAGCTAACATCGGAAAAAGGAAGGAAGTAAAACAGCACAAAGGAACGGTAAAAAAAAAAAAAGTGAAATGTTTGATGTCATAAGGTGGATATGACTTTTGACTCGTCAGCTGCAGCTGTCTGAGAGTTCTTTGTAAAGTGAAATGAGACATTCAAAGATGCAGCATTGTTGTTCTTTTCCTTCACTATGACAACAGGGAGACACCGTAAAAGGACAAAATAGCATAGCAACAATAGCAGCAACAAAAAATGTATGCATTCATTTCATACCTTAGTTAAATCATTTACCAGTTAATGCTGACGGCCCTAAAACGTTTTTTCAAGGTTTATTAACCTTTCAAGCTGTACAATTTTAACAATTTTCTCCAATTTTGTACAACTAAAGATTGATTAGCAGTAGTTTCCCTAAGCCTTTTGGAAATTGTCACTTACAATTCTTTTTTATGATACAGGTCCTTTAAAGGTCTTTTCCCCCCCGATCACAGACTTCCACTTTAAGCCTTTAGCAATAGTAGGTTTTCATTTCTAATGGATATAATTTTGCAAAGCATTACGCACTGTCTTTGTAACATATGTGCTTAATTTTCACATTACCATCATGTTCACAATAACCTCATAATGTATTTGTTTTTTGATTGAAGAGCATTAGAGGGGGGTACACTCAGAGACTACAAACACACAGGCACATGTTGGTTTATTATTAAACTTTAGAAAACAGAATCTGTATATTTCAGCACCAAATGTCACAGTGACACTTAAAAATGATTCTTCATAAGCACATTCAATACATCTAGATACAAGCCGATCAACAGTGAGAGTCATTTCCTGTCGCTCTGAGATAAACACATTCTAAGGACCATAATTGGATGTTTTATGTTATTTGTCCGTGTGCAGGAAAAAAAAAAAAAGCAAAATGAAACGTCTGAAAATTATAAAGTGCTGCAAACAAAGATGAAGTGGATATTGACAAGCAGGAGAGTTTCTCAGATGAGCTTACAGTGGTCACATTTCTGCTGCCCCACCCCTGCACAGATGTACCGCTCCGGATTGCACTGTACAGCCCTGTTGCATGCTGATTGTGGCACTATGCATGGTACAGATTAAAAAAATGCATTATGTATTCCAACGCATGGTGCATATGTGTATGTCTGTGTGCCTACATCTCCTCCAGGAGCAGGAAGGAAACGGCGAGATAAGAGTACAAATGGGAAGTTAAAGAACAGACGCACTCTGCATGCATACTGACTGTATGTATGTATGCATGTAAGTCTGTGTGTGTGTGTGTGTGTGTGTGTGTGTGTGTGTGTGTGTGTGTGTGTGTGTGTGTGTGTGTGTGTGTGCGTGTGTGTGTGCGTGCTCACCTATGAAGCCAGACGAGGGAGGATTGGGCTGGATGTTCTCCTGAGTGTTGCCCTGTATCACATCCCAAAGTCTCCACACATATTTGGGGTGGAGGATGTAGAAGGGCTGGTCGGGGTGGAGCTTGCGGTGCTCCACGTACGGGCCGAACAAATTGTAGTCCGGACTGGCATACCACTGAAGAAGAGAGAGGTGAGACCGCAGAGAGTTGAGAATCAACGGATTCTGTTTTCATTTTGAAATTCAAGTCGATCTTTCAAACTGCCAAATATCCATCAGTGTGAGTGTTTGGTGTATGTAAAAAATATTATGTTCATTTTGTTTTTTACAGATCCTCAGCCTGGTTAAGACAGCAGGCGAGGTCATGGGAATGTGTGCCCCTCTTGCCCCCCAAGGATCTTTTTGAGCAGGCTACCATCACACAGGCCAACAGCATTTTATCGGACATTTCCCATGTATCGCACTTGGAATATGTTTTGTTGAACTCGGGGAGAAGGTACAGGCTTTCCTCTGTGTAAACACAACCGCTTCAAAAACTCATTAGTTCCTTTCTCAGTTAAATAATAGAGGATGAACGATAAAACAGGAGGCCCCCAATGTACCGTTAACTGTAGCCATGTATATATGTATGAAAGCATTTGGAGTGTGTACATGTGCATGTGATTGTAAGAGTGAGTGTGTGAGTTGTGTGTGTGTGTGTGTGTGTGTGTATGTGTGTGTATGTGTGTGTATGTGTACGGATACTTAAGCAGACGCTTGGGTAAACTGTAGCTAATGGGATAAGCTAATGTTTTTGCACATTTGTAATTACTGTTTTTATATTGTTTTGATGTATTGTCTATGCAGCAATTTCCCAGAATCCGAGACAAATTTCTCCCTAGGGAGACGAATAAAGAAACCTTGACCTTGACTTTAATACAATTATTGGTCAAGCCCGGAAGCACCAGGTTTTCTGTATATACATTTCTTTGTACTTCTTGTTACCCAACTTGAATGTGTGGCCTTCATTATACTGAATCATATGCAAGCAGAATTAATTACCAGAAGAATGTTGTCTCATTTAACTATTTCTGTGTCCTTACATTTCTACATTTCAACCATTTTTGAAAGCCAAACTTTACTCAACATGAAGCTCAAGTGTGAGCAGAAACACCTCATGCACAGACAATAAAATCATTTCTTTCAGTGACGTGGGGGAGACATTTGCATAGTCAGCGATTATGAGCTTTTCAAATGACGTAGAATAAATAAGAGTTTAACTATAAGTTATGATTTTTTTTTGGAAAGACCATGTCTGATTTTTTCTCTTATTTAAATAAGAGTTTATTTCTAGGTTTAATGGTGGTTTCTAGGTGCAATGTGGAAACAGTAATCATAGGGAAGAAGGCCAAATAAATACATGAAAGTGAATAATTATGAGCTCATAGTCAAAGCCAATATAATATATGCTGAGAGGATCAAAAAAGTGAACATATGAAAGCACGTCACCGGCCGGTTGGCACAGAATGAATGCAGCCCTATGGAGGATGCAGGTCATCCCCCACCTTTCCTGTCACTCCATTGCTGCCCTATCAAATAAAAGGCAAAAAGCCCCAAAAAATAATCTTTAAAAGAAAACTTTAAAAAAATATATATATATATTAAGAAGGCAGCGAGAAGCCCCCTTCAGTAGCTTTCACTCTCATCCTTCTGCTTAGTAATGCTAAGTTAAATCCCGGTTGTACATATTCTCATTCTTAGTTTTGATATTTTTAGTGCTTATTTACTTTGTATTTAATATTATATTGTGTTTAAATTTGCTAATATTGTGTTTTTTGCTCATATTGTGTGTTTGGATAACCTGCTGCTGTAACGCCACAATTTCCCAGTTTGGGATCAATAAAGTAATTCTGTTCTGTTCTGTTCTGTTCTGTTCTGTTCTGTTCTATTCTGTTCTATTCTGTTCTATTCTATTCTATTCTTCTCTCATCTTTCTGATGAACTGAACTCAGACCTGCTTTCATCAGAGCTAAAAAAACACATTTCCTTTCTTGTGCATAATCTCAAAATGGTATCTGACTTCTCCAGTGTGCTACAGCTGAACAGGAGACTATTTCTTATTGCAAATTCATGGCCTCTCTTGTGGCAACTCCATATGAACACATACTTGTCTTTTATTGTTACATCACCTGTAAAAGACAAGCTTTTCAAGCCTTCTGTTTCTCTGTTTTTTTGTTTTCTTTGTTCTGCGTCATGCTGTTTGGTTACACGGCTGTTCCAGCAATCTGCACAGTCTGACTCAGTTTATGTGTTTTTCCACAGTAGGTGTCTGATTTACATTATTCATGGAGGTTTCTTATTGTTACCCTAAGAGATAAATCGTCTATGACATACAATGCGGGTATAAAAAAAGAGCAAGAACAAAGTAATTTTTATATAACTAAATAAACATCCATAGATTACTTCACGATAAGGTACATCCAAGCACCATAGAAGAGGCTGTGTTGGGTTCTATGTAATGAATGGGTGGCAGAGTCATAAATGCACCTTTGTCTTTCAAGGTCTGTCTTGATTTTATAATTACAGAAAATCTTACTGGTAAAAGGTGAATATGCGACTGTAAAGATTTCCAAACATAAGACTGTATTAGGTAGTAGCTCAGAGCCCGTCCTGTTTTTTTTCTTCTGTGTTAAATGTTTCTTTCTGTACCTTTGCCCCCTCTCCACTGACCCTTTGTCCTATTCTCCTGTGGGGGAGGTGGCTGTCAATTCATTGACAACCAGTTATTACACCAATTCATCCCTTTAACTAAATTCTTTAGTTTTTATTTTGACATACCATAATGCTATATTGGCTGTCTCTACCTCTTAGTTTATTGTTTTTAAACTATCAGGGAAAATAACAACTAACCAAGCTAAGCTTTTTTATTTATTGTGCAGTAGCAGGAGCGGGCCATAGAATGTACATGGATTTAATTACCACTATGTATATGTCAGGTATGCTTCAGTGTAAATGTAATTTTACTGCATGCTTAAAATTGATCATTATCTGACGACTGTCCTATGGGAGAAGAGATTGAATATGCAGTAGAATTAACATAGAGGTTCTGTTTAACAATGTGTGGTGAGAACAAACCATGAAGAGGTCCCCGTGTAACACATGCAGTAGATTGTATAAAAAAATGGAGGAAACATCTTCCCCCCACCCGCCAAAAGATTTAGAGCTACCCCCCGACGGACTGGCTGCAGAGTAGGTCCAGACTGTCTCGTGTTAACAGGTGGGACATGGGTGAAAGATTAAAAATGAAAATACACACAAGGTAAATCTATCCTGAAACTGAATTCTGTTGTGATAGTTATTATCACACTGATTTATGTCCAAGTGTTCATTTAACTAACAAATTTGGTTTTTACAACATAGTTGAAGAAAAAAAAAAAAAACAGCTGATGTAAGACTTCTCCACATTCAGTCATTGTACTTTACATAACCATGACTGTTTGCTTCAAGCTGACGCAAGAATTCTGCTGTGGACTATACCAACCCCTTCAACGAGTAATTTGGCTTTAACAATGTTTGACAGAAGAATATGGAAACGCTGTGTCCATATTTATATACATTAAAGGCTTTTTATGTGATTTTTCACACTTAAATATAATATAAATCAAGTATATCCTCTGAAAATAACTCTGTGAGTCATGACTGTCTACAATGGGTGTAACACCCGAGTCCCACTGTCTGTGATGTTTTCAGAGTTTTCAGAGTCCTATCTTCACTTTGTTTACATCGCCCGGACGGCCGGCTGACTCCTCCCCTCGTGTATAAAAGTTGTTTAATTGAGGGACTAGAGAAAAGAAGAATAACATACTGTACTCACTGCTTAACTGTGTTTCTAGATCACGCTCATTTCAGGTAAATTTACACGCATATAAAGCTTTTAAACGGTATCAAAACTCACTAATATATGTAACAGGTTTAGCTGTTGCTTCAGGGCCTTTTGTGGATTTCTCCATGCTGAGTTGCCATCATAGATACAAAGTTTTTGTTGGACTTATGATATATTCAAACGCATAGCCTGGAGAGTCTATTTCTTGTCAAATTAAAGGGTTTTGGAATCTGTCAATTACTCAAAAAATCAGCCTCAAGGAGAGCTTTTTTTTTATATTTAACGCTCCTGTCTGATTCAACAACTTGACAGTTTCCACCAAAAAAAAAAAAAACAAGCATGTCAGGGTTATCAAAGTAGACGGGGAAGTTGTGAGCCTCTGACAGAAATCATTAGAAGAGATATATAACATGCTGTGTATAGAGAAGGGGCTGTCTGCTATGAACAACACTGAACTATACCTGTGTAATGAATGAGGCAGAGCTGCTTGATGGAGGATGCTGAAAAAAAACCCAGCTCCAGTCCAAAGAATCCTTTGTTTCATGAGAGCTTCATTTACAGTCATGAATAAAAGAAACTAAACTAAAAGCGAGAATTTAGACGCACTCATTTCTATACACCTTTCCTTGGGGAGTTAATGGCCTTTTACTGTGAGATGTTTCCTGTCTTTGTTGGAGCAACAAAGTGAAATGTTCTAGATCAGCAAGCTGAGAAGCTGCAGAATGGATTCTATATGTCCGTGTTATCAACCTTTACGACTGTGCTCCTCAATGCAACACAATGGCTCAAACTATAAAGATGATGATATAATGGTTGATGCTGCCAAAGGTCAGTTAGGCTGGATCAAAGGAAGAAAACACATCATCTATAATGATAACATGTAATTTTTCACTTTTTCAATGCGCCATAAAACTGTGCTTCCTTTTTTCATTAAAATGTCTCAATAAACTCTGATTTTCTTGATGAGACACAGAAGAGGCTTCATTAACTTTCATTTGCTGTTTTTCATGAAGCATGACGAACCTGATGAATATTGCATTTCTCTATAGAGCCTTATTAAAAAAATGTATCACAGACCTGAATTATGAATGACTTTGACTTTAATAGCATGACTACATGTATCCAAACTGAATAAATGCAATGTGCACACCACAGTCTGATGTGACGCAATATGTTAAGTAAAAACGTTTTTTTAAAGGAAATTTACAAAATAAGAACTTCAACAAGAATGAAGTTGTCGCGCAGAAACAACATCTAGCAGCTGCAGCTTTTTATAACTCTGTATTTAGCTATTTTTAGCGAGTTAATTTCATTAATTTCAGCTAAATAGCTTAATGACAGCTGATGGGTTCTGGGATGCATTATGGCCATTGTGTCTCCTCTAGTGCAGATATCCTGCAGACAGAAATATAACGTATTTATTTAAACACAATTATATAAGAAACTGTACCACATACAGTTTAAATTAGGCGCATTGCAGTATTTCCACATGCTAATAAATCAGCCATTTGGTGTCTTCATCACATCCGCTGTAAGAATCTATTTGATATCTTACAAAGAATCCTTCACGTTCCCTTTGTGTGACACTATTGGTTTTATTCAGCTGAAGGTTGTCGTGGAACAAGAAGCATGTGCAGTGTGCAACGTGCATGTTAGTGTACTGGCTATTGATCTGATTAACCTTTATGTGCTTTACTCTTGGATCAAATGAGCCATTAAGGTGATGGGAGAGAAAAAATGGCTTCAGCTCAATATGTCAGCGTCATGTTGTGTAATATGGGAGGACCGTGCTGGACAACAACACCCCCTGCTCTTACAGAGAACTAAAGGTCGCCTAATTTCAAAAGACAAGTGCGTCTATTATTAACTTGTAAAAAAAAAAAAAAAATGAAATGTTGGAAGTAAATCAATGGGAACAGACAAGGACGTTTTTTTTTTTTAAATGATCTGGCCTCATAGAAATTTGCCAAAATAATTGAGAGAAGCTTACGTGCAGCATGCAAATCAATTCCAATTGCAAATTGTGGTTTTCAGGATATTATCCTGGCTGCTTCAGCTAAACAATCGTATTAAAAATTATGGCAGCGGGCCGTTCCACGAATTATAATTAAAAGATAGAACAAAGAAGAAGAAGAGCGGGAGAGAAGGGGAGAATAGATTTATATTATGAACATTTATATTATTTTTATGCATTACTCTGGTTACATATCCATCTTTAGAATTCAATTCAATTTTAAATCCATTCAGTGGCTATATGAACGGGTTGCATGTTTGTGTGAGAAACAGGCTTGTACAATACAAAAACACACCTTGTGTAGGTTGACAGTATAAGGTGCAGGGTCCCAGGCCACCAAAGTCACATTCTTGTAGATCGAGCTTGAGTTGAACTGGTGTCGAGGGTTGTCTAAAATCTGTAAAGAGAAGTAAGCAACATGAGAGTAAAAAAAACTTTCAATCAAAAGTAACATTTTCATTGTATAAATTATCTTTAAACTAACTAACCACAAGAGTATCATCATTGTGATATTCTTGATAAATATAAAATTCTAAGCTTTGACAATTTAACTTTTTATACCAATGTCCGCTTAGTGTATAAAATAATCCATGATGCTGCTCCCCCGCCATTGAAAAGCTTTGTGAAACCTCGCTCTGAGCTGATAAGCAGATCTTCAAGGTCTGCCTCTAACGGAGATTGCAGTATTTCCTAAACGTGGCTTCGCTTTAGCACAATCTGTTTTTTCTTTTAAAGCCATTAAAGAATGGAATAGTCTTCCAAAACTTCTGCACTTTCACCCGGGAAGTCAAAAAATGGATTTTATGGAACCAGTCTTGTCAGCATTAATGTGTCATCTCGACAACCTTTTAGAACTCTCAGGGAATGTTTTAATATCTGTAAATTGTTCTATGTCTTTCTTCTCTCTTATGAAATGTGTGTGCGTGTGTGTGTGTGTGTGTGTGTGTGTCTACCTGTTGCCCTCAATATCTAGAGCTGATCTGAATACACAGAGTGTATTTCCCGAAGTAAGAGGTAATTTTTTTTAATTTAAGATTTATTTTTGGGCTTTTTGGGCCTTTTATTGTAGAGATAGGATAGTGGATAGAGTCGGAAATCAGGGAAAGAAGTCATTTAAGGATACCTTTCCGATAGAAAAGGACAGCTGTCATTAAAAGTAACACATGAACACCAAGACTCCTTCAAGTGTTTGTGTCGCCGTGTCGGCATGTCAGCTTGTCCCCGCTTGTCAACGCTTCAAACCTAGGGGAAACACTGGAGTCCGCTACACAACGTTATAATGAGAATATTTGTCTTTATATCAATGCTATGTGTAATCCAATGGAATGACAACATCCACAAAAGAGAGGAGAACAACAAACTGACCAACAGAAAACAGAATGCAGACGTTTAATTAGAGCACGGAGATCGTAGAGGTCGCCCGCAGACACTTTAGACAGTCACTGTATATAAACATCATTCTCTTTCTATTGGCTCCAGTTGAAATCTCTGGAGTATATGCTGCTGCATTCAGACATCAGCTCACTCGGATGTTCTGCAGATAAAATACTAGAGGTCTGGAGGAGAAACTCTGGGTAAAGTCTGTGTGAAAAATGTGTCTGTTTGCATTCACACAGCTTAAAGAACCTCTGGGTCGACTAATCTCTGGAGTTTTTCAGGAGATTTCCGTATGTGTGAAAAGGGTTAATGACGGTAAAGCAATGGGAAATAATCAGACCAAACCACATGATCTTTTTGGATTCTCAAAATCATGTGAATCAAAATTAAAAACTTTTTTTTAAAGACGTCTGCTGTCAGCTTGATTTTCTTCACTTCCGCAATTCAAACCAAAATGTACCGAATGCTCGAAATTCCAGTCCCAATGTTCAACTCTGAGCTGAGTTCTCGTTCTAGTTAGGCAGCGGCTCGAATGACTGTACTTCATAAAAAGAACATTAACTATTACTGCTAAAATAATAATTAGATCAGAGTCATGAATCATTTACATTTCCCTCGTATGCGTCTCCACTAGTCTTACATCGTGTGCCGCAGAGTGCTGCAGATCCTCTGAGTTTTTAATCAATGATTCACGCATCACGCCGCTCTCTAAGTCACTCACCTGTGAGTTGATGATGCGAATAGTGGTTTTGTTTCCAACGTCTCTCTCGTATCCCTCTGTGGGTGCAGCGTTGAACCGTAAAACTGCATCGTGGGTATCTGAAAGGAAAAACACAGCCCGAGGCAATTTCATTAATGACATGCAGGAAGATATAACTTATTGATCATTCACTGAGTCTGTATCTAATATATCACTACTGAGTGTTTCAGGAAGCTAGCAAAAAGCAGTACATGTCGCATCTGTAACGTGTTTTTTTAACAGTCACACGCATGCACATGATTGCCCAATATGATTTCGGGTCATACTACATCATTGATGTGACGTCACATTTAGTATGAAAAGTCTGAAAAGTATGCGGTTTTTTGGACACAGTCCCAGTGATGTTCTCTTGTCTAATCAGAATGCTTGGTCGGATCAAACTTTTGTATAAAATGTATTGAATGTCGTTTTTTTTTTTCATTTTCTTGAATCTAACTATAAAAATAAACCAGAAACCCTAACAGCCGCCTTTATGTGTGATTTACATGCAGAGTGCAGATTACAGCAAAAAACTCAAATTTTGAGGTTTTGGGGTTTAATCTAAATCTGTAACATAAAGGAAGACACATGTTTAGTGTTAAAACCCGGAGAGAGCTCAGTGACATTCACAAACCAAGTCCCCACCGCATGATTATCCTCCACAAAGCGGGCTTTTAAACGACTAAATGCCGTCATTTACTCTGAGCCTGATGGGCTCTGATTACAGCTTCCTGATGACACAATGTTTAAAGCACTGACTCTGAATAAAGATGAGATCATTTCCACCACTGATGCTGCTCCTCGTGTTTTTACCACGGTTCAGCACCCCTTTTTAAAAAAAATGGGCTCTGCATGGGGTCTTTTCTTTCTTTCTTTCTTTCTTTCTTTCTTTCTTTCTTTCTTTCTTTTCTGACCCCTCTTGAATCATTCCATGTTTCTTCTCATCTTTCTTCTACAAAACGTTCTCTCTTTAATGAACCTTTTGCAAATCTTCATTTCTCTATTCTCTGTTTCTCCCTCTCTATCTCAAATTTGTATACCTCAAATTTATAGTCTCTTGAAACTCTCTCTTAAATCACTCGTGAATCTTTTCTAAAATGTTGCTTTCCTCATTTTCTCAAATTCTTCTGCGTCAGGTCTTTCTGTCTCATAGTTTGTTTTCTTGAATTGCGTTTGCGCTAGAAACAATCTTGCACCAAATGGGGTAAATCTTACAAGTACCATTAAAACAACGTCAATAATAAGTATTCAACTGACTGAAAACTGAGTGAAAACAATCCAAAATTAATTCAAAATAAAACACTTCAATGAACAAAATAATACATTCCTCCAACAAATGCTGTTGTTGTCCCTCCTATACAAACTGTACCAGATTAAATTCTAAACTGCTGTTTATTTGTTTTCACCTTTTTTCCCCCATCTATGTATTCATCCAATACATCTTTTTTTAAAACCCTGAGCATCAACAGAAGGTAAAGAGGAGAATAGTCCAAGGACTCTCAAAGGACTCTAGAACATGTGAAGATGAGACACACACTGATCCCCGTGCTCTCAGGTATGTGGTGAAAGGATAATGTTCAGTTAAACAGGTTGCTTCTCGTCATCAGAGGAGAAAATTGCCAATTGCAGAAAATTACAGTAACTATAAAGAACTCGGGGATGACGTCTCCAAAGTGTCGAGCAGATGTTGCAACGCGTCAGCCTAATTCTGTATTCCTACTACTGTCATTTTCTGAGAAGGCGTGCAGAACAGACTTCATTTACATCCTGAAAAACATGTCCAAACAAGGTCTCAGCTCAACACCTCCAATGTTGCAAATCCGGAGTCCAATGATGCAAATACCTGCTGTCACCATCTCCTCCTACTAGATGGAGTAAATCTGCCGTACTCCTCCAGAAGCAGGTTTGATGTATGTCCTCCTTAAGTACGAGTCATTATTAAAAGGCATCGCTTGAACGACTGTACAATAATGACTCCATTTGTCCTTAAGACCTGACTGTCTTCAGTGACGTAAAAACACCACATCTGTATTCAGACATATGCATGATGCTCGTACATATCAGCTTTGGACTATAATTTGTCTTTCCGCTTGAATGTGCAGCTTCACCTCAGGCATTTTGGGTCACAGAGACACAGCTCTCATCCCGTTCCTGTGGCGTTCTTGTCTTCTACGCTTCAGTAGTGGGATGCCATGTCTCGTTTGTGATCTCTTGCTGCCAGAGCTATTTTGACGGACAAAGAAATGTGTCATAATTATAGCGAGCTACGCTGTAATGCTCTTTTGAAAACTCTGAATGCCTCTGACGTCCAGCACATGGCTAACTGCTTAAGATCAGGGTACGAGGCAACTATTCTTTCCTGTGCCAATGTTTCTGTTTCTCATCCGTCCAGTAAAGAGACCATCGGGTATGGAATGTCTTTGTTAGGTCATCATGACTGTAACCAACGTCATGGAGGGGGGGTGGGGGGTATTTAATGTCCGCAACATTTTTGAACTTTGACACTTGCCTACTGTATTCTGGCTGAAGACCAACCTGCCACCATTTTTCCTGATTTTGAGATATGTATCATCATCCAACCGTTGAAAAATGTTAATAAAAGATTATGCCATAAGACGAAATATTGTCATCATCTTCTCATCTCAACAATGTTAGCTGTAATTCCATTGAACAAAGCAGACCGGCTATGGAAGCGATTAGTGATCAGAATTCAAATGATACAGCTCATTTGAAAATTAAAATGCATTAACAGAAATTATTTTTAATTTTCAGAATATGGGTGTATTATTTGACTATGATGACTAATTTATCTAATTAGAATTTTAGTTTTCAACTTCAAAAATGCACATTCTTTGACTAAATTAAAATGAGGAAGAAAATGACATTTGCTTTTTCATTTTCAAAAAAAGCCCCACAAAATCTGTATCATAATTCAAATGAAAAAGCTAATTTTAAAATGAAAATGCAATAACAGAAAGACGTTTTAATTTTCAGAATATAGGTGCTTTATTTGACCTATATTTAAAATTAATATTCAGTCAATTTGCATTATACTTTTGCACTCTATGTATGCATATTGTATGACATCATTCAAATGGAAATTAAAAGGTCTTTGGCTTTTCGTTTTCAAACTTGCCGTGCTAAAAAGTTCTCATAATTCAAACCAACTCGAAAATGAAATGGCAAAGTGGACGGCGCAGGAAAGTGACGTCAGACTCCATAGATCGACCAGTGGTTGGTTTGCATGCCCCATTTATGGAGGCTGTAGTCCTAAAAGTGGGCGGCCCGGGTTCAAATCCAGCTTGTGGCTCCTTTCCCGCATGTCATTCCCCACTCTCTCTCTCTGATTTCCAGCTCTATTCACTGTCCTGTCTCTCCATTAAAGGCACAAAAAGCCCCCCCCCAAAAAAAAAAAACAAAGCAGACCGATGAGGCACTGATTTGTTGTTACAGTTTTATGAAGGTCTTTTTTTCCACCATGCTGCTCCCCTCTCAGACTCTAGATTTACTCCACAGATAGATGATAATGAGCTGGGAGAGGAGGATGCAGCTCATTTTCAGTTTATTTTGAAGGCCAAACCGCAGCACCTGGACAGATGTGATACCAGATACACCATCTGTAACACAGATTCCTTCTTGGAGAGAGCCAACCAAAAGCCAGCGCTCTCATCACACGCCTGCATAATTACAACAGACTGTCACCGCACATATGGAGGAAAATGTGTCCTTATCTATTTCAAGCCATTTTATTCAAATAATGTAAAATGATTATTTTCAGGCGGATGCATTTCAAAACATCTTATACACTGCTATGTAATAGTTAATTGATTGTTATTGTCATGATGTACATGTAGAGTGCAATAGACAGAAATAATCAGACCAGCAGTAGTATGTAATCGTCATTTCAAAAAGGGGGAAACCAGAAGAAGACAAGGAATTATTAATTATTATTAATCCTTATGCTCCCTACTCAAGTGACATAATCCCTGAGTTTCCTCTTCCTATAGTTCTTTATAGTTACTGTAGTTTAGCACAATGGGTCTTTCACCCCCTCCTGGCCCTACCAGAGGTAGATGTAGAGCAGCCTTTCCCAAACTTAAAATGAATAGTCATGACACGCCTTACTAATCACTTAAAGGGTTGACTCGTGGTAACTCATCATTATTGTGATATTTCTTTTATTTTAATACTTGGTTGAGGGCTTTTCGCTGCCCACCTGCAGTACCAACACGGCCCACCAGGGGGCCACAGCCCACACTTTGGGAAGCACTGAAGTAGAGGATATGACCACTGACCTCTGCAGTTTATTATTATTAAAGCTTCTGTTAATGATTTTTGAAGTGGTGGTCTATCAGGTATCATTAGTGAGTGAGTGCATTTCATAAAGTAGATGACAGTCTGCATGGCCCGTGTTTGGAGAAACTTGGTCGAGTTATGCAATGTAAGTAATTTGCATAAATACAGGGTCATGAAAAACATGTATTTTAGCCATTTAGAAAAAAGGTTCTACCTTAAAAAATAAAAGTTGACATCATCCAATGTGTGTAGTACATTCACTATTAAAGTAACTTTCCCAACCCCCTTCAAACGATCTGAACTCTCCCTTTAAAGGCTTAAAAAGTAAAAAGTGTTGTGTGTTTGCGTGTGTAGATATTTGTCTGACACAGGGTGTAGATGCTTGCCATTGGCTGCCTATTTCAGAGGTACTATTTGTTGTACAGCCCAAAGGGGGTCACTGCATCCTTCACACCTTCTTTGGCGTGTGAGGAGGTTCAGACGAGGTTATTTATAAAGATTAGAGGACTATGGGGGGGGGAGGTGGGGGGGGGCCCGTGTCAACTTTGTCTGAATGAAAAACTGAATATATTTAAAAAGGGTATAAGTCTTTATATGTGATTTTTCACACTTAAATATAATATAAATCAAGTATATCCTCTGAAAATAACTCTGTGAGTCATGACTGTCTACAATATAATAAGCATAAGTACCAAGTGAAAGCAATAATAAAGTACCGGTAGTATAAGTAATAAGCTATAATGTTCAAGCGCAGGCAATTGAAAATATAAACAATATTTACAAA